ACCCAAACTGGGCCAGTTCAAATGGTGGTTGACAGTGCCAACATCCACCTATATCATCTGTGCCAAACTCTGATACAGCAGGGTCAGACATTGTGACCAGTCAATCACCAATTATTTTGTTTTTTTATTTATTTTTAAATGTCAATATGATAGCAAGTGATACAATATTCATACAGCTAGATCATACACACAAAACATATATTCAAGCTGCGGAATAAATGGGAGACGACATGATTTATGGCTGTAATAATAAAGTACAAAGAAAAAGGTATGATAGGGATATAGGAAAGTAAGAAAAATAGAGGAGAGAAAGGCTGGTATGATCAAACATAGGTTTGCGTCCATCTATATTAGTGAAGGGGCCCGTTTTTCTGCAAATTTGGTCTTGTCTCCAGAAATGAATTTCTCTATGTTGTGATTATATTTTATAAGCGGTAATAATTGGGTAAATATGCGAATAGTCTTATTGTAATGACAATTTTGAATATAACGCTTGGTTATTATAAAATGGTGGTTTTCTAGGATACTCAACTTTGAATCGCCAAGAAGGAAATTATTCCCATTTAAGTCTAATTTTAACTTGGTTCTACTTTCATACCAAAATGTGAACTCATTTATCATAGTTTGAACTTTTCGACAGGAAAAAAATAAATGTTCTAGTGTTCCACTTTCTGATTGGCAAAATGTACAAAGGTTATCCTCTATCAATCCTTTTGTAAAGAAATGATTTTGATGGTATGATTTTATATTGGAAATTCCGTGTCTTGCTGTCCTCAACACAATTTCGAAAATCATCAATTAGTTGATACTTATGACATACGCCAAACATTGTCAAATGCAACCAACAAAGGCAAACCAATGCTCTTTTCAGGATGCAACCAGTGAGAAAATTAAGAAATATTTGGGGGTTTTCACAATCACCGAACAGATGACATTGGCTGATTTGTCAAGCCATCTAGCAGTCTGATACTCAAAGGCAATAGCTAAGACACTTCATGAGTATAAATACAAATGTTTCACAATCTTCAGCAAACATACATGAGGCTACTTTCTGTCTGCTTGTTGCAATAGTTCAGCAATATGATGGCGGTCTGTTAGTAAGTCTGGACCATACAATCTAGTGATTCACATCATGAGCATCTATCTATGCAAATGGGTTATGACAGCATTTAAAATTCCCGCCTGCCCGACCGTCCGGAACGGTCTATTTTCATCTTGGACGGTCAAATTTCAAAAGTAGCCTGTCCGGTGGTCTGGTAGATATTTATTTCTCTGATGTTGATGGTGAGCCAGACTTCTAGTTTGTAAACCAGGCCATGTACCGTAGCCTCAACGTTACAATACATGCAGTATAGTATTCAGAAACTTGATTTTATTTTGGCTTTTTTTATCCGGACTGGTAATTTTTTAAAGTTACCAGTCCAGCGGTCTGGCTTGGAATGTTGGGAGTTTTCAACACTGGTTATGACATGTATCAACCAAGTCAGCGAGATTGACCACCTGTACCCATTAGTTCCCTCTCAAGCATGGGTTGCTGTAATCAGTTTTAACCCAGATCTTCAAGGGTCTTTGTGACGTAATTATTGTTAGTGAACAACAATGTTTCTCTGGCAAATAAAAAACACAATTACATGAGGACGTTTACAAATAAAGCGATGGCCTGCCAGAGGATTGGTTGGTCAGTACCGCATCCAGCAGATCTGCAAATGTATATGACAGCAGTCTGTAAATAATTGAGTCAGGACAAAAGAATCCAGTTACCGGCATCAAGACCATTGATCCACAAGTCATTGTGAAACAGTAACATACAGTTAAAGTGAGTCAGTGGGTTGGGTTTTATGCCGCTTTTAGCAATATTCCAGCAATATCACGGTGGGGGACACCAGAAATGGGCTTCACACATTGTACCCATGTGGGGAATCAAACCAGGGCCTTCAGTGTGACAAGCAAACGCCTTAACCACTAGGCTACCCCATCGCCCCTGCAGTTAGACCATTGACAGACTCTAACCACTCAACTGATTCAGTCATCTCTAAAGACGATAGGTTACTGAGGGCCTGTATTTTAGTTACACTGGAATTCCCCAGAGTCCTTAGAGAGAGGGGAAGCAGTGAGTACTCTGACCAAAGTGAACTCAGTTTACATATAATAACAATGTGAGTACTTACATATATTGAGCTTAAACTTCCATACACAAGGTGTATGCTCAAAGTGCTAACATGATTATCCAAATGAATCAGTGTGAACTACAACACAAGCTGCCTGAGAGTAGTTCTGCAACTATTTGGTTTGATTCATCGAAAATCGAATGTGACACCTTATTTTGATTTTCAATAACCATTATCACTATTTTGATTCGATATTTGAATACCTATTTAAGTTATTTCCACACAGCCAGAACGTAATTTTGACTCCAACTCAGTCAGTTTCAAGCACTGAAATAAGGCAAAACATGATTGGTTGATGCCGGGCAAATTATCCAATAAGACATCACCAAGTTGACAATGGATTTCAGGCTTCAAAAGATGAGCCTGAAAGTTACATGAGATCTGATGGTTTTACATGTATGAATAATTGAAACAAATACGATTGAATCGATGGCCCAATATCGAAAATCAAATCGATTTCGAGATCTGGTTGTATCGTTACAGCCCTACCTGTGAGGCATTAGAATGTTAACACTCACTGTTATATGACCATTTCATCTCACCGGGTACCCATTCACTGCTAGGTGAACAAAGACAATTTGAACTAAGTTAATTGCCTAAGGTGAGACCACATGTGTAACATGTGCATCGTTGTGGAACAGGACTCTCAAAAGTCAAGGTAAGAAAGATGGTCACGCATCCAAGGACTCAACAGATCATCAACAGATCTGTTACCTGTTTCTTTGCACGGGACCAAGCACCACCAAAAACAAACGAAATATTACATGTATGCATTAACACACATATGACATCAGGGGTGGAAAAAATTGCTAGTGTACTCTGGTACAGTGGCACATGTAAAATCACTTGCCCTGATAATTTTTCCACTATACCGGCCGTTGTTTTCTTGTTGATTTTTTAAATAAATAACATAATTAACATTGGAAAGTCAACTGGACACTGGTACAGTGTGATATACAAATTTGCTTGCCCGACAGAAAAAAGACACTGGACTCGGGCATCGGGCAATGGGTTATTTCCACCTCTGGACATTGTCTCTCACTTGATACTGAGCTCTAAAAACTGCTTGGATGTCAACTAATGGTAATTTTTCAACAAAATTCATACACAGCGTAAGGCTGAGTTTAAAAATATATTATACATAGTTACATTATTTGATTAATATTCAAAGCAAGATTTGCAAAATGGAATACATCCAAGCCAGGCAGGATAAACAGCCAACATTCATACATACATTTACAGTAATCTGGTCACTGGTCATTGTCATGATAAATTAACACTGTCAACATGGTCAGAACATTTATTTAGCTATTGTTTCACTGAATATAATGAATAATACATCAACTGCTAAATTGTTATTGTATTGGTATACCATCAGTGATTTCATGAGAAACAGCGAGGGAAAAACAACCTTGGTAAATGTTAATGTGAAACTGGAGACAAAACTAAGCCAGAAATAGCTGACACATGTTTCTTCTCTATCTGTGAATCTTCAATCTACGAGGAAGTTTGAAACAGTTGTGTTCGAAGGCTTAATTGATATCTGGAATAATATATTACAACATCATGTTATCTCAGTTGCAGTGTTTACTATACATACTTAGATCTAAAATAATAACTATAAGCCTAGCACTATGATTACTATTATAGGACATAACATAATCTATAGCACAGTTTGATCAGTCGTTATCTGAAATTTCCCTTGGCAATGCAATGTCTCTTCCCAAAACAGTATATGGTATATTGGAATATGTCATCATGCTTCACAGATATGACTTTAATAAGCCATATTTAATGGCTTATTTCCATAGATATATACTAATTGGAACCAATGTTAGAATTTATACCAAAGGGTTCCAATTTCACTATTTTAGTCAGTAAAATACATGAAAAACATTGATATGAGTGTACACTTCAATACACTGGGGTTAAATTAGACTAACGCTTAGTCTCTGAATTTGTATAATCATAGTTACAAACAATTAATTTCATTTAAACTGAAAAGGAGCCCAAGTCAGATGGGGAATTCAGAATCTGAGGAAATCTAGAGTTGCTTCATTTAGTCGGGGAGCAGTGAGGTAGCCTAGTGGTTAAAGCATTTGCTCGTCACACCAAAGAACTGGGTTCGATTCCCCACATGGGTACAATATGTGAAGCTCATTTCGGGTGTCCCCTGACATTATATTTTAATGCTGGAATATTGCTAAAAGAGGTGTAAAACTAACCTGACTCACTCACTCATTCAGGGCTGCTGCATTGCAGGGAGGCCTAGGCAGTTGGGAAGACAATGTTGTGCAATAGACTCTGAGACAGACTAGAGTTAAATCAATAAGTGGTTCACGGACTGTGAGACAGACTAGAGTTAAATCAATATGTGGGTTATGAAAATGTTAATCTAAATAACACATGTGCTTCAATCCATAAAAAATGCAAGCACCTAGACATAACAGGGTCGGATACAACTTTTTGAGAAAGTGGGGGTGCACACGTCATTCAAGTTCACCCCTTTTCACGAGAGTTTCAATAATCGCTTAATAAACATTCAGGACAAAAAAAAAAGGGGGTAGGTGTGCGCAGCCCTGCACCCCCCACCCGTCTGGATCCGTCTATGCATAAATCGAAAGCTGTCCAAAGTGCCTCTATGTCCACGGAGTTTGAATCAGCTACGCTACTCACAGTACTATATGTCACTATGTAAAGTAACTCTGTGACAGCATTCCCGTGTCAACAAAACTTTACAAGGCCCAGCCTAAATCTGAAGTCTAATGCTCAAAAGAAATTTGATAAAGTATGACATAAAAATATTGTCAGGTCATCAGAGATGTCAAATACCTGTAGCTTTCATAAATATTCCGTATTCATATCAGGCGCCATTGAGGATTCTCCAACCTGTTGATATTCCTGATCGATCATTCATATCACCATGCACACTGTGTACACTAACTAGCAGACGCCCCGGAAATATTTGTGAAGCGGGGTCAAAACAGGAATTGTGGGATAGTTAACTTCGGCAATCTTCGGCACGAGACCGGCATATACGTAGAGTAACGGAACGTGCTAGAAACAAGGTCAAGATCTATAAATAGGATACTAGTTCCAGCACTGCATATAACATTTACAAAACCTTCTGTCGATAAATGTGTAAAATTGTAATAAGCATCACTTTTCGAAACCCGACGTTTTTATAAAGGAGACGCATAAAGATTTTGTTGTAATTGTTGTTGATGTTTTTGCCAGTTGAATGGTGTTACAATTTACACACAGTCATAAAATCAAGGCAGTCTTCTGAAGGTGACACGTCAGCTGATAGAAGTCGATAACCTCGAGGTCATTCTAACGACATATGTCACAGTTGAAAGCATTCTCTTGATCAGCAAGATAACACTATAAGGATAGGGTCAGGAAAATATCAAATTATTTGGGTCAAAATGGGGACAACTAATATTCTTTTAATGACAGCGTTTCTTTTAATACTGAACGATTTTGATATCTCTTCAGTCATGACTAAACCTGATTTTATGGAAAAGAAATCTTGTTGAGCGTTTCTATCTAATTGTTTACTTTGTTCGTAACAGCCAAACGGTCATGTTAAGACAAAATAGGTAGCTAAATAGATGTAGGTAGAAAAACAATAACAATTTTCCATCAACATACTGCAACACATAAACTCACGGGCGAAAGAAACGTCACCTTGCTTTTTTAACATGTCACAAAACAACAAACTCAGATTTTGGAAATTTAACAATCATATTTTGGAAAATCAATGGATTTACAACATTCTGAATGATGAAACTGTGAACTACAGATATGAATAATCACTTAGTGTACGATAAAAGATAAAAAAATCATCTTGGTGACTATTCTTTCGCCCGTGAGTTTATAGGTTTACAGAAACGATAAGGACATTCCGTAAAAACAAAAATAAACAAAAAAATAAATTTGTTTCCAGTGTAAGAAAAACAGCTGGAGTATATACGCCATATAAGCTCCGCCCACTCATGAATGTTTAGTTCGCTTAAGCCCACTGTCCTTGCAAGGCTGTACATACATCCGAATTAGAATAGTTTTTGATTCAGGCTAAGATATCGCCCATCATGAAAGAACATAGTGTAGATCTATATTAATTCGTAAAGGAAAGACGAAGTGTAATCTTCTATACAAAATAAAGGGGATAAATATATAAATTTCAAGTTCATATTAAGTGAGTGAGTAAGTGCGTTTGATGTAAGCCGCTGTTTGGCACATTGCCAGCAATATTACAGTCGGGATACCAGAAATCGGCTTCACACTTTGTATCCACGTGGCGAATCGAACCACGGCCTTTGGCTTTTAAGAGCGGACTCTTTAACCACTAGGCTACCCGACGGCCGCAAGTTCATAATGAGAATTTGAAGTTAAGCGTTATCCGTGAGTTATTTATGTGCCTAGAATTCTATCATTTGTAACATTATCAGTGTATTTAAATATATTGGTGTCATTTAGTCGAGTCATGGTCATTTCTGACACGGACACAGTGGTGTCTGTGAATCAATGACGTCTTAAGATGTTCAGTGTTCAATTCAAAAGAAATGAATTCTTGGTTTAGAGCTTGAAGTCCGACATGTTTTATCCTTACGTCAACGTCAAGGTCAACGTCCAAAACAAGAAGGGAGATAACTCCAATATTGGGCCGTGACTGTTAGAATCTTAGCAAACCTTTATGATAGGCAGGGTGTAAATCCACGCCGTAGTCAAATTACATTTAGTGAATGATCATTTCAAATATATTACACGGGAAACCCAAACTAGAGTGAGTGAGTTGGGTTTTACGCTGCTTTTAGCAATATTCCAACAATGTCACGACGGGGGGACACCAGAAATGGGCTTCACACAGACATTGTACCCATGTGTGGAATCGAACCCGGGACTTCGGTGTGACGAGCCAACGCTTTAACCACTAGGCTACCACACAACACCCCCACACACACCCACATACACACAAACCCATGGTCCCTAGTATGGTGATCTACCTTCAGTTCGGCAATCTATAGCCTGTTTTTATATTGTATTGTCATTTATAGTTCCAATATTTTAGATTTCATTGCTAGTTTTAAATGGATATCTGTGACACACTAGTTGTTTTACTGCTCTTCGTCAACAGGTTTTTAATGTCCTACTTTATTGATCTATAATATAATTATAAACTGTTCTCGTCACGATATGGCTGAAATATTGCCGATATGACGATAAATATTAACTCACTCACTCACTCGATTATTTACAGTCCGTCGCCATATAGCAGGAATATTGCTGAGCGTGGCGTTAAACAACCAACCAACCCTCCCGACCATTTCCCCTTGGAGTAAAAGAAGCATAGCACCATACATTTATCTACCATGTATATTTCCAACATGAACTGTACTCCCCATTCCATAGCTGTATGACTATATGTACGTGTTGCACTGTTTGGTAATGGATATAAGGATTGGTGTGGCTTGTACCGTGCTAGATATAATATTAAAGAAAATCAATAACACTTATCTCTGTCAAGTCTTTTACATCTGTCACAATGACTTGTTAGTAAATTATTCAGGAAAATCTTTGGCTGCTGATATTGATTGACTTTAAAAAGGTCTACAAATGTCAGGGATGCTGGAGGATGGATAAATGAATATCCGTAAGCTCTGATAATACCTGTGTACAACACATCTTTAAAACTGTAAATACTGAAAATAATTAGAAACAAAGACAAATTTAAACGCTAACTAAACAAACGCTTATCCAATTCATTATGGAAACGGAACACCTATCCAAATATAACGGGGCTCAAATAGAAAAGACGACACTTATCTCTTGTGCAGTGGTGGTAGTTATGAATCACAGTGATTTTTTTCATAAACCTGTTCTGATCAAGAAAATAAAAGCAAGAGTTGGTTTCGATTCTTGATATTCTTTTTAGTTTCGTTTTGAGGTTCGGTTTACGAACCAACACGCACGCGAGCACATACAATACCCATACAAAATGCACTCGCTGACTTCGTTGCCACATTCCATCGTATCCCAGTTGTGTAGATTGATGCTCATGCTGTTAAATACTAGATTGTCTGGTCTAGACGGTCGATTTTTACAGACCGCCACCATATTGCTTAAATATTGCTGAGTGCGGCATTAAACAAACAAACCAAATGCAAACAAACATCAACAGTGAAACACACAAGAAAAAATAACCCGTGAAAAAAATATGCATTAAGTTATATATACAACCACAAGTGTGCCCATAATGCCTTTATAACAAATACAATCATAATCATATTCTAGCAACACGTGTTAGAAATAATCAATGTTTTCAGTATCAGCGCCTTATCAACGCATCAGATCCGTTGTTATGGTACGCTAAATGCACTTCGACAAATGCAAATAATAGCAGATATACATACAAATAGCCATTGCTGCATTAACCAAACAAGTTTGAGTGGTAAGAGCAGGACGAATCGGATACATAATATCATCAAGCGAGTACAGGATATTAATTTTCAATCGAAGATGCATTGTCGAAGGCCATGCTGTTATTAGGTGCCTTACACGTAGTATATTGCAATCAACCAATCAAGTTGGGCCAAGTCGTACCGAAGACTCGTACTTGGTTCATTTTGATTGGTCATTTTTCTATATGTGGTCATATTTCATTGGCTGATCACACAGCGGAAGGGAATTCCCTAAAAGTTGCTCTGCCGAGTGAGGCAAGGACACACCGTCGTCTACACGTAGAACATCGAAACAGAACCTCTCCTAGTCCTACCAGGAGACGAAGGAGTTGGTTTCCTTGGATAAAAATGAAAAAGCTCTTCGTTTTAGGAATTATAGGCCTTCTTTTCGTTGCTGGTAAGTTCAATATTCACCGCGAAAGACACGTGTTTTCTTGAACCGGTCCGGCATGCATGCACGAAAACGCGTATCGAATGACATTTCTTGCATTAGATATGGTACCATAGGTAGCGTGCTGACTTGGCAGCAGAATCTTTGTGTACTTGCAGATCTTTTCGTCGGATGGTGCCCAAAATAACTAATATACAGGCACAGGCGTGACAATAATGCGCATGTCAGTCAACTTAATGAAGAAAGACTGAAGACATGTGTCCCTAACAAAGGGGCGGGGTTTATGTGGTTCCACGTTGATCCTTCGAGTCTAAGACAAACAAGGGCTCTTTGGAGCAAATGTTTAGATTAGGTCGGATTAACATTTTACACACTGTGAAAAGAAATTTTAAAATGAGTAAGATTGTTAGAATGTTTTAAATTCACCGATTATGGAGTACAGGTCATTGTTCATGTACAAACCTGTTTATGAACTTGACACAATATTAAAATTAACTCCCAAGTACTAATGTTGACTGTTCATTTAATTTTTAGTGAAATAGTATAACAGAGTTTTGAGTGTTAATCATGGTTCTTTTAAACTGATCTGTCAAAGAGCTTGTATAGGTAATTATCACGGCTCTCGGCTTGTGATTACTCTATGAAAGAGGATGGTCGAAATATGAACATATTTGAACCATTTCTGATTGGAGGTCCTGGCGTCTTAGTTTTCAAAAAATGAAAGTATGTTTATGTTAACTTTCACAACATTGTGAACAGTTATATTTGGCCCTATATTTCAAAGACCACCCTTTCTGCAAGTAATGGTTAAATTTGAAGTTGACCTAAAAACAGATTAGCATTTAAATCAATTTTAAGAAGTAGGTATATCCAATTTATAGTGTCTTTTTTTAAAATTTCATGAGTTATTGACAATGTTACTCGTTAATCTGCTGTTTATCCAGCGATTTCTGATAGTGCCATTGTGTGGGCTCCAACCATCACAGCATGACAAAGGGTTAATTACTGGACTCGGTGCCTTCTCTTCAGAGCACTTCAGCACAAACTAAGTGTAGACTATCCAGCTGGGTGATGTAAGACAGACTGAATAATGATGCTCCAATGCTTGGCTGATTGCCATTGTGACTATGCATCATTTCTGCTCTGTTGTTCGCCAAATGTAAGAAAAATTTAGGATCAGTGAAACAGGTTGTCAGCAGTTGGGATCTTTCTGTATGATTTGTCAGTCATTGTAGAGATAAATATACATATGACCTGAAGATAGATTACAACTGAACTATTTTTTTAGGTTAGATTAATTTAAGTGTTTTTTCACCAGTAACTTGATATGAAACATGACTGATAGAGTACCTAGGTCCTGTTTCACTGGGGTGAATAAGTAAATGTTGCGTAAATATGCTTCAACAATTTCGCAACTATTCACAGCTAGAAAATCAAATATTTTCCTAGGGAAATGAAGATACAATAAAAATGATGACAAAGATCCTGTGTACTGAAATTCAAATAAAGGATGTGGAGTTTTAGAAGTGGTCGCTTGTCCTTGGCTGGTTGGTTTTTTTTTGTAGTTTTTGTATAATTTTTCATGTTGACAAGTAACATTGTTACAGTCAAGGCAATGTGTCAAGACTTATGTTAACATGTATACGAGTTATAAAATCTGATCATAAATATAGTTACTTGTATGTTGTCATAGATTTGTTAATTTTAACTAATTCTGATTTTTATATGAATACAGGTTAATGATAAGGCACAATACTTCCTTACTCACACTGACCCCTGAGTTGCAGAATTACTGGTACTTCCTTGTCAGTGTGTGGTGGACTTATCAAAACGTGGTTATAGGCAGATATTTGGTCCCTAATCTCCAGTTAGTGTCAGATCATATCAGTATATTGAACTCTGCAAATTTCCCAATTCACTGATCTTCAGCAACCCATGCTTGTTGTAAGAGGCGACTAACAGGATCGGGTGGTCAGGCTCGCGGACTTGGTTGACACATGTCATCGTATCCCAATTGTGTATATTAATGCTCATGCTGTTGATCAGTGGATTACCACCACCATATAGCTGGAATATTACTGAATCAGTGCACCATATAGCTGGAATATTACTGAGTGTGGCGTTAACCAACCAACCAACCAATCTTAATTCATGTTATACAGTCAAAAACTATTGTGGTAGCTTTGTCCAGTTGACTTATTTTATCCCCAATTTTCTAGGACAGGCATTTTTTGTTTAATCAAGGATAAATCCCTGTATTCCATGTCAAATACAGCAGATACAATAGAAGCAAATGATGAGTCTTTAAAGAGGAATATAGATGTTGGATCGTAACATTTTAAAGTAATCACAACAAAAAGAATTTTGCACAACTTAAGTCACATTATGAAATGGCTAGAAGTAGTCCTAATCACTGTGTATTCTTGAAAAGAAGACCTTCAGTCCTACCAAAGAAAACTTTCCCACTGTGCAGAAAACGCAGAAAAGCTCACATTAATCGTGGAAATAGCAACATAAACATAATACCTCACTACTGAAACAGTAAAACGACAACTTTAAATCGCTAACACTGCATCATAAAACAAGGAGTTTAGTTTACTTTCCATTCTGTGCATGAAACGATTGACAGCAATTATTTTGACATATTTAATACTTTTTCTACATGAGGCTATAATTCACGGTTGATTCGAAATTGGAAAGAAGCCCGGATCGTAATGCGCATGCAGATAAAGGTCAACGCTCGCTGATATAAAAATGTTGCAGTTTCATATTTTTCGCTGTCGTTTTTACTGTTTCAGTAGCGAAAAGCTAATGTGTTAATGTTGCTATTTCCACGATTAATGTGGGCTTTTCTGGGCGCTTTTCTGCACAATGGGAAAGTTTTCTTAGGTAGGCCTGACCTTGTCATGAAGGTTACATTCATAGGGGATATGTTATGCAGTAAATCCAGTATAAGTATGTACATGGATAACCGCTCATAATTGTTTCTTCAAATTTTTACTGGAATATGGACATTTGCAATCAAGAGTTAATCAATTAAATCGGTCCACTCCTAATTGTGTATGATTTGTGTTCCAGCTGTATCAGCAGCAGACGACACTGAAGGGGAGGAGAAGGTTAGTGAAGACTTAGGCAAGTCTAGAGACGGGTCCCGGACTGACGATGAGGCCGTTCAAAGGTGATTATCATGATTGTATATCTCTGACTTACAAGTATCAGATGCAAACTTTCACAACCTGTAGATTCAACACATTACATGGGTGGTGGGGCAGCCTCGTGGTTAAAGCATTCACTCATTATGCTGAAGGCCCAGGTTCGATTCCCCACATGAGTGCAATGTGTGAAGCCCATTTCAGGTGTCCCCCCGCCATGATATTGCCTGAATAGTGCTAAAAGCAGCATAAAATCAAACTCACTCAATCACTCAACACATTACAAGCCCCAAAGAATCCGAGGCAGTAAATCCACAGAAACAGTGATGAGTGGAAAGTGGATTGGATAGTCTGTGCCACCTAGCTGGTTGAGGGTGACTCTGGAATGTTGATCAATCACTATTTTGCCTGGAGCAGACGGTTCATATATCATGTTGACAAGATTTTCCATCATATGGCTGGAATGTTGTTCATTAAAATGTTATCACGGTATTATCATTCATATTATTATCCATATGGTGAAACATAACCAGTGTCATATATATCATATGTGCACATATCACTTTTGCCTAGCAACCATTGTTTCTGTATTTCGTTGTCTGTCACGTCATTAAACTTGAACGTGACGTCAATGAACAGGGCAGTCACACTTGCTTACCGTGTTTTACTGCACAAATGTACATGAATAAAATGGATAATAAAGAAATTATTACACTCACAAGTGTAATAATCTCTCTTTATGTTGGTGCATTGATCGCATTTTTATTAATTATCATTACAGTCTGTAAATAACAAAACCTGAACAGGAAAACAGGTGGTTGATACCATGAACACAGGTTCTTGTCATCATTGTATGAATATGTACTCAATAAGCCTGGTCAGACATTGTGGCCAACCAATCCACTGTGGTCAGCTCTGACAACTCGCCTACAGCGAGAAAAGGGTGGTAGTGGTTAAAGCATTTGCTCGTCACATCGAAGGCCAGGATTAGATTTCCCCACACGGGTACAATGTGTGAAGCCCTTTTCTGGTGTCCCCCCCGTGATATTGCTGGACTATTGCTAAACGTGCTGTAGAACCATTCTCACTCACTCACTCACTCAGTTACACCTACAGTCCACTATGGTCAGCTCTGACAACTCGCTGTATGGCGAGACTATTGCCACGTGTGGCGTTAAGCAACAATCCTTTCTGACAACAGGTACTGGGAACCTATTCTAAATTGGAATTCCCACAGAACAAACTAACAAATTGGTGTACAGTGACTTGCCAATCTAAACACAAGGAAATGATTAAGGGCTGTCTGGTCTGGTTCATCTACTGTCCAAACCTGTCTCGCTGATTATTGGGACCAGTGGTTTCAAAACACATGGATCGGTGCACGGTGAAGTTACGTTCCTGAACCTGATCTCTCACTTCACTTGATGACAAGAACCAGACATATTACAGTGTCCATTCTGGAAACTTTGCTATCTCAGCGGAAGCAGGGCTTTAAGTTTGTTTGTTGCCATGGAAACATTCTTTTACGAATATCCTAAGTTCTAAAATGAGAGCTTGAGGGAATGTTATTGATGTTGTGGTGAGCATTATTCTAAGTAGGTCATTGCAACGTGAAAATGATTTGAGACTGGACCTGACAAACTAATAGTATGACTGTTGAGTCATGCCATTGGATCATGGTAGTATATGGCTACCAAAGTCTCACAATGGAGCAATTTGGACACAGCTTCGTGTTTCAAACCAATTCACAATTCCCAGAATCTCACCAGAAAAAAGTGCTATGGTTAAAAAGAAAACGACAAATTATCACCATGTCCTTTGGAATTTTGTCTCTAAAAGTTTGAGACTTCTAACCTGAGCATAGCTCTCAGTATCATTGTCACCGGGTTCGATTTCCCACATGGGCACAGTGTGTGAAGAGCACTTCTTATGTCCGCCATGATATTGCTGGAATATTGCTAATAAAAGCGGAGTAAAACTCACTCATTCACTCACGATACTTACAGCTAAATGTGATGTACAGCATGGTCAATCAGACTGCAAGACTAACTGTTCATTTTTACATCCACAATGTCTTTATTTTAGTTTTCAAGTTTAGTAATGTTGTCCTTTCAAAGTATACTGAAATTCCCAAACAGGTTACTAACTGGAACAGGTGGTCAGTCTTGATGACTTTGTGGATGGCATGTCATCGTATTCCACTTCCATGGATCAGTGTTCATGATATCCATCACTGGATTGTCTGGTCTTGACTCAGTTATTCAGATCGCCGCCTCATAGCTGAAATAATGCTGATGGCAGTATTGAACCCTGAAAGAAACATAGAAAAAGAATAAATAATAATAAGGAATAAAATAAATAAATAAATAAAAGTAAATTAAATACGTAATGGTTATGAAAAGTGATATTTGAGTGAAGTATTATCATTATCAAGGTTAATGAGTCATTCTTCTAGAAATAATGTTTTCATTTTTTGGGTGTTGTAATTTCCAGCAGAGCAGTTAAGTTTCACCCTACAGCTTTGGTTGATGTTTTTGGCAGTGTACCATTAACATGTGTTTATGATCAACTCTGGCGATTGGCTACTTTGATGTTTCATGGCTACTAGCTACACGTGTTTGCCTGGGCCGTCAGGGTATTAGCATCATGGCAGGTTCTGAAGCTCACCTGTAATTAACCTCTTATGTCTGGAGCATGTCAGAACATCCGATCTGCGCTATGATAATGATATTTACATTTGTCTTGTTTTTGAACCGTAACAGCAGGATATATACCTTCGTTTGTTTGAAAGCATGCATGTTGGAATGCATACACCGAATTATGAATCACAAGCAGTTAATAGATGATGAAATGGTTGGATGTGAAATATTGTTTCGATTTGTTTATGATGGTTATCATAAAGGGAGGAAGGGGTCATAGCGTAGTAGTTGAAGTGTTCGCCTGTCATGCCAAAGACTCGGGTTCGATTCCACACATGGGTACAATGTGGGAAGCCCATTTCTGGTACCCCCGCAATAATATTGCTAGAATATTGCGGTGTAAAACCATATTTACTTACTGACTTTTATCATAGAATTAAGTGAACAGGGATGGCAATTTTCCAGCGGATTTTATTTCAAATTGTTCAATTGTGAATCGTCTAAATCCATTGAGAAACCCCCATTCGATGACACAATAATAAGTTTTTCGCTGAAAATAGATTTTCCTGTTGCCATCCCTGAGTGAATCGAACTTACCATTTCCACATCCAGATGATTGTTTTTAGCAACCCCTGTTGTCAGAGGCAACTAATGGGATTTGGTGGTCAGACTCGACTGATGCATGTCATTGTGTCAAAACTGTCTTGGATGTTCATGTAGGCAATCACTTGATTGCTGGTATGGTTACTTACCATGAGTTAAACATCAAACAAACCTAACAGTTTGCCATGGGTAAGATATTAGATTGACCTAGTTGTTAGAAAGAAGGTTGTTTTGGATTACTTTGGTACCAAATAAAGCTTAGAGCCAGTATATCTGTAACATAGCTTGACAGTATTGCAGCTTGCAACTTTTGGAAATACCACTGTAGTCATTGCCAATATTGGATGTTCCTGACATTTGAGGGATTTCCCCCAAATAGTGGCGACTTTGGTCCAGGGAAGCTGTGAAGGCAGGCATGCCAGATATCAATATAGATGTTATTTTTAAGTTTACGAGTGCTGTTGGTGTCGATGTGCATACAACGATGCAGGAGTTTTTGGCAGATGCGCAGAGTTGGATATGTGAATTTCTTGCTGCATAGTCAGCACTTAACGTGCTTAACACATGTAATATTGATCTTGGTAGGGAGACTTGGCTGACTGTTATTTGCAAATGGAGCCTGTAAGAAACAGGAATTGAAAGCTTTCAATAAATTATCCTTCATGTTTTTAGCAGTCTTGAAATAGGTCACATCTTGCAGATGGAAATATGTATAATCGTTTTCACATAGCTCTGAAAATATTTACAATTTCTATGGAACCTTTCTTGTTGAGAGAGAGGTAACAGGATCAGTGCTCTTATCAGTCATGCTGTGATGTTTGTAGTATTTGTTCTGACTTATGAATAGTTTTTTAAATGTTAGGCGAATATGAAACAAATGTTTTGTGTAATCTTGGTCATGCTATTGGTAATAGATTACGCTTTTTAGATATGGTATTTTCAAACATGAAGAATAATGCCAGTAGCGTGATGTACTGATGTAGTTTTTAACACATCCTGTTTGTTTTACCAAAGAGGGTTAAGTTGCATTCTGCTGCTTGTTTCTTTGTCACAGATCAACATGTCCAAATCAAGCCAATAATCAAATGGACACACCTAGAACTTAAGTACTGAATTATTCTCTGTTTGTTTTCCCAAACATTATGACGTTTCTTTGTCACAGATAACTAAGATCAAATGGCTAGAACTTGATGTCCTGTTTCTGGATCCCTACACCTGTGTGTCTGGTAGCTCATTGATCTATTACCGTGGAAGATGAAATGACTACCCCCTCCCGACCTTGACTGTGCACCCTAGGGTGTCCGCTCATCTGGAGTTGGGCCCAGAATGGTTACCTAGAGATGTAATAACCCTTAAACCAGTTACAATTATCAAACATTGCTCCCCGGCTTGTAATCACGAGACAGTGGCTAATATGTTTGACCATCCTTGATGAGGAACCAGTTAAGGGTAATGGCCGCTTGATGTCTGCCACCTGATGTGGAGGGATTGCAATGGCTGCTGCCAGTGGAAGCTGGGAAAATGGTTCTGTTTTGGCTTCTGGGCAGTGGGATATTGAGAGGTTTTCCCGGTGTTGGTTTGTGTCAAAGGTCCAAGTTCAGGTCCATATTTTGATTAAGTAGGATTCCCAGTCTTGGTATCCATGTGATATGACTGGAATAATTACAAATAAAAAGGAAAATAGTTCTGTTTAAACTTCTGAGACATTCAGAGGTTTTCGTGCATTGACTTGCGTCAAAGGTCCAAGTTCAGGTCCATATTGGTATTACATGGGTTTCCAAGGT